GGATTGAAAATTAACATTGAACGAAAAGTGGCACAACAATATCCGTTTACCAAACGGATATGCTGGAATTATTCGAGAACATTGCCTAATGAACCTGCAACAAAACACCGAACAATGTTTGCTTTCATAATTAATCTCGGTACATTTTAGAAATGCAGATTCGAGGTAGTTCGAATAACGTCTTTAAGGGATTGAAGTTCGTGATTGCTTCAGAATAAATGAATAAATGGACGCGTCCTTTATTCCAAATGGAACTATTTAAACGAAAATCGTAGCTGTGATGTTATCCGCCTCGTGTCTGTAACATTGTTTCAGTTATTCGATTTTAATTAATATCGATCAGAGTGTTTCTGCACTAAAAGGTGGCAAATGAAATGTTTTAAGGGCTGGAAAAAAGTTGGTGGCAAACGATTCTTTGTGCGTGTGTCTTCGAGCCCAAAGACAGTTTTCAGATTTTGGGACACTTTCTTAAAAACTGTTCTTGGACAAGCACAGTGGTGTGCATATTTTGAGGTCCTTTTTAAATTAGGTTGCGTTTTCCTATTTGCTTCTCTGCACTTTAGCCAAAAATTCCTTCCAGACAAAACTAATTGGCAAACCAAATCTGAAAATAAGCGTCGAACGAAGCACAAGTAAACAAACGAGCATGGTGCGTGCAAGTTCTTGCCAGACCATAATAGATTAAGTTGTAGCCAGTGTGTATTCGGATATTTGGACTTGCACGATAGTGTTATGACGAATGCAAATCGTTATGCTTATTAGTTGAGAGGAATATTTTAGCAACATGCAACGATATGCAAAAGAGCGGACGTGTTGATGGCGTGGAACTGCTGATAGACCCACCCCGATTTCATATTTAAATAGTGCGACAGGGTTTAGGTGGGAGCTCTTACAAGATTAGAGTTTTATCTGCGGAGAGGTAAACGCCCACTTTGTTGCTTGCTTATCCCCATATGCCAAAGCTGCCATATGATTAATAGGCATTCGTCAGCACTATTAGGGGAGTGATAATGAACTCTAGGTGTGGATTAGTTGACGTGCTTAGTGTAGATCTTCATTAATCGATCATCAGTTCAGCCGGCTTGAATTGGTAAATAAATATATTTAAACTGGCTACAAAGTTTTCTTCGCAAGTATCAAAGAGCCTGTTGGAGCCGATCCTTCATGTGCTCGTAACATTTTCCGGCTGCTTTGTTCGGCTCTCCCGCGAGAATGCAGACATTCCCGGTTATCCCGGTGTCATCCCTTGTTTACCTCGAATTACTGTTTGTTGCACGAACGCGGTCAACTTGCTTTATTGGCCTCCGAGAATTGGAGCTCTTCATCTGATACTCCGATCGCCCGCAATTTTACAGTAAACCAAGAAGGGGGATTTTTTTTTATTTCTTAACGTGTATTATGCGATAAGACTGAGTGATTTTTGAACGGATGGGGAGGAATTGCGACACTGCTTTTGAGGTGTTATTGGGATGGAGGCAGAAAATCTGTTCTTGAAGCGTTTAACAGTGCAAAATTCAGTAAATTGATTGATTTTGAGTTGGATATTTGTTTGGTAGCGTAAACTCATCAGGTTGTACAAGGTGGTTTTCAAAGAATGTGGTAAAATTCCCTGGCATATTGTTTGGGCAAAAATATTGCATTTCAGGCTAATTTTTGCTTATCATAAAGTTAGTAGCTTGCAAGGTGCCGGTGTAAAATTTTCGTTTTTTAATAGCTTTTTAACCAGTTTTTCCACCTGCAAAAATTTGTGTTTGGAGGTTTTTACATCAGGGAATTGAAAACTCCTATTACTAAGCTGGTAGTTTTTAGACCGCGGTAGCTGCAGTAGTGCAAATTTTCAACAAAATAATACTTTTTACAAACTTCTTTTTGGGTATTTTGCCTCAAAAATTTTTGTCTTTAAAAACGAGAGAATTTCCTCACGTCTTTTATTACAGATTGATAAATAGTGCTCCTATTTCGCAATAAGACCGAATTATTTATCAAAAAGTAATCACCTAGAGGGTATCCTGCGACACACTTAGGCTCAAGCTGTAAGAGAAAATTCCAATTAGTAGAGAATTTATTTTGAAAAATTACCTTGACGTTTCGATAGCTATTTTCTGCTATCGTTATCAAAAGAACCTAAATGAACCTAAAAAAGAGTATGTTAATAAATTGT